GTGATGAACGGTCCAGGAGATATATATTCAATCACAACGCATTTTCCACATTCGTTTGAGAGCTCAGAAATCCCAAAAGTAAATAGAGTAAAGTCTAGAGGACAGAAAAAGAAAATCGAAAAAAAGGGTATCTATCTCAACCATGATCACAAGTTCAAAAGTTGACTCCCGTCAACAAGGACGGCCAAGCTTCAACGGGTTGACGGGTTGAGTACCCGCGCCCGCGCGACCGCGGCCTGACGCTTTCCGCAGCCTAGACGGACAGAACCACACACAGCTCAGACAATCAACACTCAAGCGAGGCCAGAGAATTTTCATGTTCCTTAGATGAAAATGTGAGCGCTCTTGGTAAAATCAAAGAATGAACAGCTTCCATTGCCTCAGTATTAGGACCGTAGATTCAACTGTGAGCCAACGTTTCTTAACCGACTCACTTTGACCCATTCACAGCACGACTCTAGCTTTTTTTCCCACTGGGCATCTAAGATGACACCAGAATTTCGCTGCAAATAGTTGCGGTAGAACGAAGGCATAGGTTGCAACAGACCTCACTTAGGATAGGCATCGTGTCCAGCGTTTGCTACCTAGCAGAGCACGTACGCGACAGGAGCCAAGAAATCTATAAATACGTCTTCTCCCTCCAGCAATTTGTTCTACAATTCTATCACTTGGCTACCCAAAGTCCAGCAGGCCTTGCGTTTTGAGGCACCTGATAAGTTCTTCCCTTTGACCTACTGGAATTTCCACTATACTGACATCTATCGATACATCCTGGGCCGACAAGCTAGAAAGTGCTTACGAGAGAGTGATTCCCACCAGGTCCACTATGTCACCCATGCCAGCCGATCAAGAAGCAGATTGGGGTTAGCTGGTCAAAGTATCTATGCGAACATCTGTCTACCATAGCAACTGACTACTGTCCCGTCCCTGAATATCCCTGAGGCAAAACAGCGGGTTAAAAGTTATGTAAGTCTCAGCACGATACAGTACTGTCTAAAATTCAATTGACTTCAAAGATGATGCAAAACATCCAGGTCGGGGCAGTCCGTCCAATGCACGCGCAAAGCCGCGGAGCCCTTTCCGTGTCTTCTTTCAGAACATGTGTCATGCATTGCCCCGCCGATCGACAAGCTAACGATGGACAGGAAACCGTTGACAGCGCACCAGAGTGAGTCCGAACCAGCACTCCGTCAGTGCTCCGCGCAGGGTCATGGCTTACACACCTTTCTGGCCCTGTCACTTCAAACCATGCAGCACGTCCTATGTGAAATACTACAAGCCAAGGCCGCGGGCCAAGAACAGGACGCATAAGCTCGAGACCTTTGTTCTTTATGGTAAGGTGAGTGGAATATCGTGGCTCTTGCTGCGCCGGGTCCGATGATTTGTGCCAAGTCTGTGCCCCAGACACGAACACTACTGACATCTCTATGCCGTTGTAGGAGCTGCCCATTGCCCGAAAACTCTTGTGGCAAGTTACCTATTACCGCTGAGTTAGACAAGACCAAGGGGCGGACGCGCCATCGCGTCTTCCCCTC